TTGATGGTATATGTTTGCTCATTGTAATTTACATCTTAGTTGTATCTTTTGTGCAGTTTAATTGAATTATACAAATTATTTAGGTTTTTTTTCCCCCTGGAATCATGTACTGCATGTTTGGTTTGGTTTGTATATAGTTTCTATTACAGCTAAATTACAAAAGCTGTTACATTTTAGGTTGTCACTCATAAAATGTTTGATTTTTTTTTTTTTTTAAGTTTAGATTGTATCCAGTGTTCATCATAAATACTGATTTTCTAGACAATGGTATTATTACTTCTCAGGCTGTAGCATAGTATGTATCCAGAAATGAAAATGTACTTAAATTTAGTACCTAGTGTCAAGTTACAATAATTTGTGAACAAGTGAAAATAAAGAATATGCTGTGGAATAATATCTGTATCGATATTGACTCTTTTAAGCAAGTAATAAACTTTCTTCGAAGTGTTGTCACTCTGACATGACTTGAAACTTTTCATAGCTTCTGATGTGAACTCATGGTATTCTTTAGTTTCTACAAAGCTTTGAGTGATTTGGGGTTTGGAGCATTTGTCTGTATTTGGGCAACATTTCTCAGGTTCAAGCTAAACATCAGCCATACAAATGAATAAACTATTCTTCTAAAGTTTGCCTTCTGCCAAATCTTTTCCATGTCTCTTGGGGTACAGCACATACACGTATGTCCATTTGGGTAGGTCAGTGATAATACTGTGACATTGCAGTAATGGTAGCTCATCTGCTAATAAGTGAAATCTGGACGTCTTGTGTCAGTTGTCAGTGCATAACATAACACATGCACAAAAATACAATTGTTCAAAATAGGTACAAATTTCACTGCCTCAATGAAAATGACCCTGCAGGAATTTCTTTTGGACCAGGAATGCCTGAGAAGCTGAGTTCCATAGTATTTGTAGAGCTTTTTTGGGGGTTGTAGTTCACATATATAGTATGTATTGATGGTAGTGATTTAGTACAGTTTTAGGTAAATCTTGGTTTTAAGTCAATCTGCTATAAGAGCTTTACTGGATTCATGTTTTATAAAAGTAAATTCCATCATGATTTTGACAAACAGAAAATATTTGTGTGTGGGAGAGGGCAAGTATGGAAAACAAGGAAAATGGTTTCTGTCTTATGCTAGTATTCTTCTTGATTATGCCACTGAAATCCAAAAGTGCAACAAAATGTTTTCATTTGTATTGGTGAGTAGTAATGTTTCTCCTCTTCTTTTCCTGTAGGGTTCTGGAGATCTAGAAGATCCGTGGTAGCCTTACAAATCTGCTAAAATGCTTTTGATTCTGAAAGGGGGAAAAAACTTTTAAATCTGATTTCTTCAATACAAGGGAAAATTTCTGGTGGATTTCCAACATTTTGTGAAATGGGCAGAAAGATATTAGAATTTTCCATCATTTGTTCATTTTTGTGTTTTCTGATATTGCCACTCTTAGCATTGCCTGTACTACAGTATTTTTACCAGCCTCAGGCATACTGATTACATCTGTAATGAACTTTGGCCCTAAAAAAGAAGGAAGGAAAGAATATTCTCTCAGCAGATCGGTGTGTGTACCTGAGGTGCATGGGATTGTAGGCGTACTCTGAAGATACACTGTGGCTAAATGAAACGTGCAACTCACAAGCATGAGAGAGAGTACAACTAATTGTTTGAGATGTTTCTTATTTCACTTTACCAAGTTGGAAGGCTTTGCAGCTCTGTGGCTTGGAAGTAATTTCAATTGGGCAATACGCTATCAGATGTGTATTTTTTTTTTAATTTTCCAGTTTTACCTGTATTACCAGACCGTTAGGTTTCCCTGCGGTGTCCAAATTGTGATACGTTGCCTACTGCTTGCTTGAAGATAAGTGTATTTGGCAATAATATACGAAGATTCTAGGCATCTAAAACCAGTAAGAATTTTACGCATGTGTACAACACACCCTTCAACTCTTGCTAGAGAAAATCTTTTTGAAAAAAACAAACTGGTGAATTTATAGTTAGTAGTGACTTGCTTTGACATCTCTCACAGCTGCAGGTTTTTTTAAAAATGCTGAAAATTTGCCTTTATTATAATGTAAATTGTGATTATTTTTTTGTTCTATATGTGGTTTTCTATAGTTTTTTGATTTTTTTCAGCTTAAGATACAGACAGAAGTCTTGTGTAATATGGGTATAATTTTTAATTGTTTGCATTATTTTCAAAGTTCAAATTATCACTTTGAGATTACTATAAATACACTTAAAATTATCTATTTTAAATTAAGAAAATATTAGAGATATTTTCATGGGTTCAATGACCTTTCATTTTATAAGCAATGGGCATGGTACAGAGTGGCTGTCATGTAAGGTACTTGAAGATTCTTAGTTTAATTCTATTTTTGCAATAACCTTGACTTTTTTTCTGACTTCTTTGAGTTGTGCATGTAATGAGTCCAGTAAATGCTGAAAACGGGGAAGAGTAAAGTATTTATCTAAAATAAAAGCTATTGGGGAGGGGAAACAATGAATGTATCCATCTGTACATGATTTACATGCTGTGGATGCCTTGTAAACATTTTCCTATTTGTTTAAACTGTGTTTCAGCGAGGATGTAATTGCCCTTGTGTGTAGTTTTAAGCTAATGACAGTCATCAACTGGTTTTGTGTGAAATTAAATTCATGGTATTTTTCTGTAACTTTATCCCCATGGTGAGTCTGTAAAAACCACACGCTCTTTCATACTGATGCCGAAGGCCAGCTTTTCCAGTCATTTTGATTCACTGTGTATCTGATTTATTATTTTTTTTGGTCTAGAGAGGATTATTGCCACAGTATATTTTATTTATTCATTAGATTTTAGCCTTGTAAGTTAAAGTGTTTTAAATGATGATGTTAACAGGTATTTGTCCCTTTACTGGTTTTTTTGGGGTTGTTAAAAGATAGGGAATGAAGAATGCAAAATGGTTTATTGTTCAGACTGTCCGCTCTGGTCCAACCCTGTACTGATAGTACCTTCCCAGTATGATATTGTGATGTTTCATACAATACAGTGAACATAACCAATTGTTATCTTCAATAAAGGATTGCTAAAACAGTGTGACATGCTTTCTATTTTCTTGGGAAGGACATACTAAGAGGATGCAAGTGTTCCATGTGAAGAGATAACCCAGTAAGATTTATGCAGTCTCTTAGTTGATGGATTTCTGGTTGCTCTGTAGCAGATGTGCTCCTTCGTCCCAGAAAAGCACAAGTCTCACAGTGGGCTTCTCTGTGGGAGTGAGGAAAGGGCAAACAACATTTAGTGCTCCTAGGGCAAATCCCCAGCCCAAGTTTAGCTGGAGTCTTAGTCCAGCTATGGGAAAGTATTCATTTAAAGACTAAAAATTCCAGTTTAACCAGACTTTTTGGTCAATTAATTTCTTGAAGTTTCTTAAAGATCTGAGCTTAAACCTAAGACATTTCACTGTTGCACAGTCTTTAATAGAAATTTATCTGATGTTAATGCTTTCATGTTAGGATTTCTACAGATTTTTTTTAATTTTTACAGCTCTTTTTTTCCAACTTATTAAGGTAGTTTTTTAGCTGAATGGAAAAGGAGAATGGAATGCTCCATGATTCTGATACTGCGGGGTGATAACCTGACTAGTCAGGTTATGACCTGAGTAGTCAGTGTTACTGTAGAATGGACATCTTTACAGACAACCTGAAGATTTTTGAGTCTACAAATCTGTAACTTCTTTGAACTTTCTTGTTGGATTTGCTTGTACAGCATAACTCCTGCATGCTTTCTTCACGAGCTACAATTTTAATGCCTTGTTCCACTGGCAAGACTTCTGGTATTCAGAAGTCTTCAGTCCCATGAACGCTTCTTTGTGTAGATTTTTTACCTTAAGTGGATAATCTCCCTCAAGTACAAGGGTTTATACTTCTTTGTATCCAAGTGCAGCATACACACAGGTTTTTCAAAGAGAGGGATAATGGCTTGCACAGCTACATCAAAATGTAAATCAAGACAGCTTTTTTTGCCCTAAATTATCACTGCTTGCCATTCATGCATCCATGTGGTTATGAATTCTAGTCATGTTTTTAGTTTAATCAAAATACTGTGTAGATTTCAGCAGCCTGGGAAAAACTTTTCTTGTTGACTTTGTATTCTTAATGTGAGAAATCTGAATGAATGATGGAATTTGTTCATGCATTTGCCATAGCTTGGCAACATTTTACAATTACATTGTCTTAATTTTGTTGCCACCTGGTAACTAACACCAAGATGATTATGTAGAATACTGAGAGTGGGAAGTACCTCTTCCACCTGGGGTCTTTCTGTTGTATCAAATTCACCTTGATTTCATTTTTATGACCTGTAACAGAGGCAAAGTAGGAGTCCATGTCAGTTCTCATATCTGCTCTCTGAGCAGAATAAAGATCTGTTTTAACTGCTGTTCATTTACACGTTAAATGAAATAGGGGGTAATGAAGTAGATGCAAATGTAAATGATGTCACTCTGACCTCAGAGGTTTCATATTAGGGGTTAAGACACTCTGCTCTTAATAGGCTGGATCTTCACGTAATTATTTGAGCCTGCATGCAAACCTTTGCAAGACTTGGCCAAAATATCCATATTTTTCATCGCCCTAAAGGTGAATCTGGTGCTGATTTTGCTATTTGGGTGGTTTAAAACAAAACAAACCAAAACACAAAAGCAACAACAGAAAAATCCAAAAGCACAAAAACCAAACAAACTGTTAAGTTGTTGATTCTTTTAGCATATCAGAGGCTGGTTATTAGTGGTTAAGTAGTTTCTTGGTATAATGTGTAAAGTGGAGTTCAGTCAGCCACTTCATCTCTGAACCTTGGTATAGTATCAGACATAATCACTAGCTTAAATTATAAATAGTAAAATTAGCCCCAGAAAACCAGTCATTTTTCCTTGGCACTTTGAGTAGAAATCAAAAACAATAGGAACTCTGGATTAGTTACAGCATTGAACCAACCTGTAGTAGGCAACTTTTACCTCTGCAAGATGAAGCTAAAAGCAGTGCTGCCTATCACTAGGTATAGGCCTATAATGGCAAAAAAAAAAAAAAAAGGCCACAATGCTAAGCAATTTTTAATTATCAACTAATTTTCAGTTTGTTGGCTTCAGTATTGTCTGAAGGCTTGTTGCTTTTGGCTCTTTATAGTTCTTTTTTAGCTCTAAATGAAATGAAGTTGGAGGGAGCTGCACTGGTGAAGGTAAGCAACTCCATGGGTTACTCCCAGAAATGAAGACTGTTTGACAAAACCACAAGAAAGGACCCAGTCACTGAATTTTTGCAGTCTAATCCAGGTAAGTATGCAATTTATGCAGCTGAAGCTCCATCTCTCATGTCTTTGTAACCTGTTTTCTCTGTATGCCAATCTGAACTTATCCTGTGTGTGTTTGGGCTGTTGCTGTACAGACCTGACTTAGCTTCTCTTGGTTTATGCTGTTTCATGTTTGTACCTGGCTGCTTCTCCGTTGATCAAAACATGAGCAACTTTTGCATTTTAGCATACCTGTGCCTCCTGTTTGTGTTCAGCTCACTGTTGGTGCTCATCTCTCATTTCCATTATTCACTCTATCACTTCACCAGTGCTGCTGTACTTACCTCTTTGTATGTCTCAAATGTCATGTTCTCCCAAAGACTTTACATTTCTGTCTTCAAAAATCTTGAAGTTCTCCTTTGCTCTGTTGTCTGCATTCAAAGACTGACTGGGAATACTGAGATCTTCCTTCTGATTCTTGGCTTTTCTTATTTCCTTATTTGTCTATGTGCAGCTTGACTGGGAATTTTCAGAGAAGAAGTCCTTGCTGTGCTTATTAGTGGTTGCTGTGATTAATGGCTGAATCATCAGTTAATGATTGCATCAGACCTCCTTTTAAACCTAACAAAAACTGATTAGGGTTCAGGTCATGGGGATGGGCTGATAGGGTAAAAAAAAATGGACATTTCCCATCAGTTGGGTAATCTTTCTCTGAAAGCAGTTATCCTTCCCAGTAAAGGATGAAAAACACTGTAGCAAGAATGAATACACATTCTTAAAGACTTGTGGCAACTAATTCAGTCTTGTTGGATATAATTTTTCCTGTTGTGTCAAGTCTGCTTCAGAAATAACTTTGACCCTGGTTTTCTGCTTTCTCAGATTTCTGGAATCTAAGGTGAGTTGTGGGAAGTTGCGTCTATGGTGCAGTAGTGTTTAGTGTTGTAAAGGACCCTGCCCTCGACCTTTAAAAAGGTGGAATGAAATTCGTGAGACCCCTGATGGTGGTGTTGGAAGTTTGTCTGATCTTTAAATATAAAAATACTTACTTTTTTGGCCTTTTCCAGGTGGCTTTTGGAATGTGTTTGGTAGATACTGGATATTTTTGAACAAATATTATTCAGAGAGCTTACATGCAAGGTTCTGTCAGAAAATGACCAAATGTGTTCTACCTTTATCATTTTGAAAGAGCTGCAAAGCCTAACTGAAAGAAACTGGGCAGAAATTCATAGAAGGAAAATTCTCTCTTGTGACATAAAACCCTACTCTTGGAAGTTAGCATCCAGGACTTACAGAGAGAACCTCAAATATTTGTGTATGTTACATTCCTTGCAAGATTTATTTTCTCAAAAAAATCCCTGAATTGTCTTGTGTGCAAAAAGAGAAACTGTGGTGAAAATGCACCATTCTATACTGATGTATTTTAGCTACTTCTCTGGGGAGTGAACATGTCAATTAGTAAATATTACATTTAGAAGTTAGTTGGAAACTTTGAAGTAAATGCATTTTAACTTTGAAGGAAAATGCATATTTAAATTGCATTAATGAAGAGATGTTTCCCATTATTTTTGTAAGGAAGCTTCGTAACACCATTCTCATCAAATTAATTCTGTGAATATTGGTTTTATTTTGTTTGGCAGGTTACTCAGATGCAAAATGGATGCCTGCTTAATCTTCAGATAATTTACATTATTTGACTTGTTATTAGGGGAAACTGGATGATGTGAGGGTTTTTTTTAAAAATCCTTTATCCAATGGTCATTTTCATAAATGCATCTGATTTTAATGGTACAAGAAGGATTTTGGCCTAGTTATGTAAGGCAGATATGTTTTCTTAGTGTATTTTAAATAATGAATATTTCAACTCTGGGAGCAGAAAATGTATGAAATGAAACCAAAATTTTTTTCCCAACTCCAATAAATCTGCATTTACTTTGGAAGGAGATAGTTTTTGGAAATACACTGCCAACACAAATAGTGTCAAGGTGTTTGGAAGTGGTGGCACTTGACAGGAACTTCTCAGTCTCTTAGTACTTTTTATGTTATGCTGGCTGTGAAGTTTTAAAATTAGGAAAATATATTTTACATTCATCTCTTCATTCCTACTTGTCCTTACCTTAAAAATATGTAGGAAGTTCCATGCTGCTGCTTCAGAGATTACAGTTACTGCATTTAACTTCATATTCAAGAATTAAAAAAACCCAGAGGTCCAAGCATGGGAGTAACTGCAGCAACTTTAGATGCTATTTCAAGTGCTATTTCTGTGAACTAAAAAAAAGACCCAAAACCCAACAAAGTTTTAGCTTTAAGATGTGACTTCTCATATGATATTAGTAGTTCCTATGCTTTGAACTGCATTAAAGAAAAGATTTTGTATTAAATGAAGGGAAAGGAGAAAAATATGTACCAAATGGGTGTTGTGTTATCACTGACTTGAAGATGTTGTGCAGCTGTCTTCCAGTTCAGCCTGCAGTATTCAAATATTTGGAAGATCTGTCTTTGAAATGCAAGCAGGGCATCCACTCAGAATAAAAAGTTTGCACTGCTCCTCTGTACTTGGTACAACAGACTCCCAAAGAACATAGCACAGCAAGCAGCATGAGAGCTGTGAGACACTGCCTCATATCCATGTGGAATGGAGAGCAGAAATGTACTTCAGTTTTTCTTGGAGGGGGGATTGGGTGTGTGTGGTGCTGATTTGCTTCTCTGTTAGAGTGGAGAGAATGGAGCGGGCATTTAAATGCACTGTGTGAGTGCTTGCAGGATGTGGGATTGTTTGTCTCTGGTTCACCACCATAAACAAGCAAGGTGCCAGAGCTGTTCTGTGCAGATAAGCAATGTGAGATCTGGCACTGAAGAGCCCACACAGTTCCAGGGACTCATGAAGCTCAAGATGGAAAGGCTGGTATTTCCTGCAGGTGATGCTTTCTTCACCTTGCACCAAGCAGTGCTTTCACCCACATGGCTGGGTCCTTGAAGGCCAGACAGTTCCAAAACAAAACTTGTTTTAGTCAGTGTTTATGAGGGTACTACTTAGAGTTTTAGCAGTTCTTCTAACTTAGAGGAAGATTGTCTTTATTCAGTTGTTGTACATTCAGGTGAATATGAAATTAAGGTGAAGTTCTGCTTCCTGTGTCCACACTGAATGGTATATCTGGAAAATACTTCTTGTAGTTGTGGAATGTTTTCTTGATACAGACGTCTAGTCTGTGCTGATCAGAGAGCCCCTTCCCTGAGTATGGACCCTTGCATGTGCCAGCTGCTGCTGTGCAGCATGCTAGGTCCTGAATTGAAGAATAGGAGTTTTGTTGGTTTGGGGCTTTTTTACAGAATGTGTGCTTTCAGTTCTTTGGTTTCACTTCCAGTGCTCACACTGATTTTTACACACATTACTGCTGCTGGACTGTTGACAGTGTGATGTGGAATCCATGAACTGTTGGTCAGAAGCAGCCATTGTAAGAACCTTGGGGTGCAGTTCAGAACTGGAGAGTGAAGTTTTCTGTACAGATTGGAGATTTTTTATATGAACTGAGCTCTTCCAGGAGGAAATTATTTCACAGGAGCACAACCTGGGTATATTTCATTGCGGAATACCTGCCACTGATTTGATACTTGTGAAAAAGTAAATTGCTTGCAGGAAAGCCTATCTTGATGCACTGAGAGAGACAAGGGAAAAGGAATAAATTTATATGGAGCACCATATGATCTGTGATACCGTGTGTGTTATTCCTGCCGGTGGGGAAGCTGAGGCACTGTGAAAAGCTGTACATCTTGTATAGTATTGAAATAGGTATGCTCATGTGGTGACAGCTGTTGCCTGATAGCGCCTCCCAATAAATCCATCCTCCCACAAGAGGAAGTGCTTTGTGCCCAGCAGACCAAAACCTGGCTCCTCAGATTCCTGTTCAGTGGATTTAAATTGTTCTCAGAGATAAGCCCTACAAAGGCAGCTTGTGGGGTGCTGTCTTTTTGGTAACTGAAGGGATGGATGTGGTGGCAATGTAGTGCAGTGCTTCTCCTTGGCTTCATGTTGTGCTGCCTGGCTGTGCTGTCTGTATTGCAGATCTCCCACTTCAGGGATGTTTCACTAACTCAAGGTCACTCTTGAGTTACAGCCATCCAAACTTCAGCAGTCTGCCATGATTTAATACCATGCTGAACTTCTCCAGCTTGTACAAGGGCAAGAGCAAGGTCTGTCTGGGTTTCTTGCTGGGAAAGGTTTTGAGGAGTAGGTTGGAAAAGAAAATCCTTGGGAAGTTGTCATCCTCTAGGACAGAAATGGGGCAGATTAATGCCACAGAGGGAAGAGTGTAAATTGAAATGAGCACAGTTAATGTGAGTGAGCTTCCTCCTGGAGAGACAGCAAACCTCGAGTTTGTTTTTCTGTGGGTTGTATGTAGGGTTTGACCCTCTGGGGGGGAAGCATCCAGGAGTCAGTGCTGCATGCTCTTGTTCTTGCAGCTATGATAACAGCAGGAATTAGTGGATAATTGTTTTCATTAGAAATAGTGGGAGAGGCCAGCCTTGTAGATCAGCCATGGGGGGCAGGGGCTGGGTGCCTCCTTCCCCTGAAACTACTCCTGAAATATCCCCTGAGCCAAGCAGTAGCTAATTACAGCGTTTATAATGACATGAACCTTTAATCACATTGTCCATTAGTGGACTAAGAGCATTGAAAAAGCAACAAACCCCCACCAAACCCTGTCACAGGTGTCTTGTGCAATTACATTTTGCCACCCCCAGGACTTCAGGCTGATGGCAGAAACTTCAGACATGCTCATGGTAAAAGATACCATGTCAGAAACTTGTTCCCCTAGCCCTTCTCTCTCTTGACAGCTGCCCTCCGGGTCAAGGGAGGATTTTCTTAGTGCTGAGTGAAAGGTAGCTTTAAAGGTCAGACTATCCATCAGTCTTGTGGGAGCTGCTGAGGTAAAGCTGCTGCTGAGGTGTCTGCCTTTTTTACATACCTGTAAATCTGGCCCTGATTCTCTAAATAATGAGGTTATATTTAAAGTGCATTATGTCAGAAGAGTTCCAGTGGCAACAAACCTTTTAATGAAAAAGCATAAAGCAAGGGAACTTTTTAACAATAAATGTCTTCCTACACTTAGCACATTAGGGTGCATAATCACCCCTCTGCATGGTTTTCGGGGTAATATGTGTGGTATTGAGGAACTGGCAAGCTACTTGGCATTTGTAGAGCATCAAACAGTACATGACTAAGTCAGTCAGTGCATCTAAATAATTATATATAAGAAATACTTGTGAAAATTAACCCCTCCATCTTACAGAAATAACCATGGCAATCTGTGTGGAGATAGCAGCTATTACTGCCCACATAGAGATTGGTTTTGTTTCCCTACCTAACCCTGAGGTAAACAGAGTAACTGGCACAGAATATGAAGTGTTTTCTTTACTACTTAATGCCTTTCAGTGGATTCTGCTAACACAGTTACACTGGCTAGTTACTCCTGCTAAACTGTAAAATAGCTCAGGAGGGAACCATTTCAGAATTGCTTGAGAGCAAGCCAGATGCATAATGCCTGCATACATAAAATATATTTTAAAAGGAAAAAGTTAAAGCTCAGTGGGAGTTGTTGGTGATCTGCCTTTCTAAGATGAAGTTTATGTTATTCCTTTATCAAATAATTTTAAGGCAAGCAACTCCTCAGGATGAGGAGAGGGAAAAAAATAGGTCTGTAATAACAACACAATACCTGTGTGGTTTTATTTTTAGTCTGTAAGGAAAATCATACAGGAGACAATATCAGATTCTTTTGTTCGTTCTCCTGGGCCTGTGGTAGTTGATAATCCAGACCTATTTTAAGCTCCTTGGCTGTATATTTTCTCCAAGCTTTCAAGAGGAATTTTTAGGCTTTGAGGCCCAGGTGCCTACCCTAAGTGTACCTGTGTTCTGCTGGTACCTGCTTGTGCTTCGGCTCTTCTCACGGAGCAGGGCGGAGCTGGTGTGGGACAGGACTGCAGTGGCTGGGAGCCCGCTCAGCCCCACTGCACAGCGTGTTCACCAGCACTGCCACTGGGGAATAGCCAGCACGGCTGTGTTCTGGTTCAGCCTCACGGTGATGTGTTGCTGGGTCTTTGCGTGCCCTGCAGCCAGCGGAGATGGCGCACATGGATTCATCTGGATTCATCTATCCATGGCCTCCGCCTCCTGCGTGCTGCATTTATCTACCAGAGCGCTATAATCCTCCTCTTTTCAGCCAGACGCTTGGCAATTAAGACACGATCTGACCTACTTAAGGTATAAATAAGCCTTTAATGTTACTTGGGGATTACATTAGGACAGAGGGGCTCTTTTGAAGGAACAGCTTTGGCACAGCGGGATTCAAAGAGCAGGCTGCTCCCGAAAGATGCTCGAATAAGGGGAAAGGAATGGATTCCCAGCCACACATACAGAGAGCAGTGGCAGCTTCTGACTAGTGAGATACTAAATTGGCCTTTATCAGTTGTAAAAGTATGTGTGTCAAGGGTAAGCTACCTGTGTCCTTAGATCAAATAAACCTGTCCAAGCAGGCAGTAATCATCAGAAAGTTTACTGGATTAGAGAAAAGAGATGGGAGGGAGCTGAAATACTTGGAACTAGTTTCCCTTTTTTGATTCCAGCAGTCCTGGTGGGTGTAATACTCTACACTTGACTGTCCTGAGTCTCCTGGGCTTATGAGACCCATGCTTCTGTGGCAGATGCTTGTGTTTTGGCCATCATTTGCTCTTGCCTCTCACTTGCTTTGCTGTGCTTGCGTGACTGAGGGAGCTTTTGTGCATGCAGGAAGATACTTATGTTTTTAAACCTCTGAGTTTGGAGGGGAAAAAGCAAGCTGGGGTGAAAAAAGCAAGCTGGGGAGTACCAGGTCTTGAGGTGTATTTCATGCAGTCTAAAAAAATTTCTGTATTTGCACATTTTCTACTTTCATTACAAGTTAAGACATTGAAATGAAACAATTGAAATGGAGTGAGGAGTCACTGGCATTGTGTTGAATACAAGTGTACGCCCTGAGTGTACAGTGCCTGTCTGGAAACTTTTACAGCTTACTGATATGATGATGTTAAGACTGTAGAGTCATTAAATGGGAGTGAACCAGTGACAAATAATTTCCCACTTCTGGATCTCCTGGCAATACTGAATTACAGGCACTGCCACTACAGCTCTTATCTCAGATGCTCCCACAGCTGCCTGACACTGCACAGGCTGAGGTTGCTGCCAGGCACTGCTGTTAGGAAGAGAAAGAATTAAATCTGTCAGCATCAATACCTGTTCTTAGCTCAGCTACTGAAGAAATAACACTTTTTTGAGTAATTAGAATATTGCATGCTGGACTTTTTACAGTCCGTAGTTTATAAACTTCTTTAAAGGCTTGAGGCAAACATAATAAACACTTCTTTTGAGTCACAACCCAACCTTGTCTCCACTGCACTGTCCAAGAGTTTCCTTAGGACCCTGACCCTATGGTCAGAGGTAGGAGTTGACTTTTACAGGTGATAAGGCAGCTCCTTGGCAAATCTGTATTGCTTTGTGTGTCCTTTGGTATGCTGGGCAGGGGCTACTGGTGGAAAGGGATACCTTGATGCTGACTTTAGGCACTTGGGGCTTAGGGCACACAGGTGTGTACAGATGTGCATGTTTGTGCAGACTTTGGGCTATGCTTTTTCCTACCTAGAGTTGTAGAAAAGGGGAGAAAGAGGGAGAAGGGAGCAATTCTTACAAGCATTTCTTTTTTCCCTTTTTTTCCTTTTTTTTTCTTTTTTCTTTTTTTTTTTTCTTGTTTGTTTATAAATATTTTTTTTCTTATAATGGGAGGATGGATTTTAATAGTGGGCAGTGGGTTTTTCTCTTGAGTTTTTCTTGTGCCTGTGCAGAGCTATCCTGTCTTGCCCCGGGCTGGCTCTGGGTGTAGCAGTCCACCCCAGTACCCTGCTGTGAGTCGCAGGATCGGTATGTACCGCAGGAGTTGGTGCTTAGGATTTGGGGGTGGGCTGGGAGCACGTGAGTTAAACTGTGAAAAAGATGCACAACCAGCCTTTGACTCTTTTCTCCTTAGTTTATCTTGTTGCATTTGGGCCAGTGGTTGCCAACACTTCATTATCTTGCTGAGTGTGTTTAAATTACCCATATTCAGACTGCTTCAGGCAGGGGAGACTATGACCAGTCTGGAAAGCTGCATATTTGCTAGATCTGATACTGGTAAAACCTGAATTTCCCCCTGCTGTCAAAGGGAAGAGAAGTGCTGGAGAGAGCAAAAGTAAACATAACTGTGCTCAGCTGGTACCAACAATAGGCTTTACTTCCCTGGAGGGCTGCCCTTTCTTCTAGCATTTTGTTATCTTGCTGAAGATGCCGAATATGCAGAACATCGTGAGCACTTTGCCCTTTTTGTCCCTTTCTGAACTTTGAGCAGTTGGTCAGGATTGATTATCAACCCAGAATAGCTAATTGCACTGCTTCTCATTTCACTGAACAAAGGTGCTGTGGCCAGAGGCTCCAGGACAAGAACTGTCAAGTAAACCAGTTGAGGTGGAAGCCAGGAGCTTACCTATGGAGCTGAGTGAGAAGGGAGGTGTGCAGAACAATGGATTTGTTCAAAATGAGGATTTTGAGGACAAGGAAACGGCCACCAGTAGCCAAGAAGAAATGCCAAAAACGTGCAGTGTTGATGTGGACTCAGTGGCTGTGGAGGAGACAGTGTTGAAGCCTTATGCTGGGATGCCAAAGGAGGTCCTGCTGCAGTTCTCCAGCCAAGCCTGCTACAGAGTCACCAGGGAGATCCTCTTCTGGCTCGTAATTGCTGGTTCTGTTGTGCTTGTGTGTGCTACCATTGCCATCATTGCTCTCTCTCCAAAGTGCCTTGACTGGTGGCAGGCCAGTCCTATTTACCAGATCTACCCTCGCTCCTTCAGGGACAGCAACATGGATGGGAATGGGGATCTGAAAGGTGGGTCAGTTTTCATTCTTGCTGTGTGACAGCTGTGTGTGTATGAGTGTGTATGAAAAGCAAAGCCAGTGGAAAAGTAAAGTCCAATAGACAAAGCCACCTTAATGGAGAGAAGTAAGAGAATAAGTTAATAGCAACTCACATTGTTGTGAATAAATCCAGGAGCTGTTTGCTCTAGTCAAGTCTAAGTGTGGAATTAGAAAGGAAGTTGAGAGATGGTGCTGAGAGCAAGCAGCAGCACAGCTGCTACCGGAGTCAGATACCTCCAGAAAACTGAGTCCAGTCAGGAGGATGAGTGGTGCTGAACACCTGGTCATGTTTGGTGGCTGCTCTTCCTAAGGAAAACTAAAACTGATGAAGAGGGGAGAAAGATGTGTTATTTCTTGTTTTCTTCATGGTCTAGGTATAATCAGCTGCTAAAAATGCGTGGAGATGGGACACCTGATAGCAAGGAAGCAATGCCACTTGTCAGTAGCTGAGCTGAGAGTGCCCTGCAGAAAGGGAAGGCTCAACACCAAAATGGACAATGCATTTCTGAACAAGAAGTGATAGCCACACTGTGCAGTACTGGCAGAAACTGTTTCTGTAGTTTTATACTATAGTAACATGTCAGGAAGATAAAGGGACCCCTGTACAAACAAAAATCTTTTGTCTTTTCTGAACAGATGATGTCCTTTTCTTTTTAAATAGGTATCCAAGAAAAACTGGACCATATTACATATTTGAATATCAAAACCATCTGGATCACCTCTTTCTTTAAGTCCCCTTTAAAAGACCTTGGATATGGAGCTGAAGACTTTTATGACATTGATCCCATTTTTGGATCAATGACAGATTTTGAGAATCTGATTGCAGCCATACATGACAAAGGTAAGCTGCACCTCCATCAAAGTAACTCTGTTAAAAAGATGGACCTTACAGGGACTCCAGTCTGTGCTCCTGGCAGTCCCCTGTGGTGGCATTGAGCAGGAACAGATGCAGGTGCCAGCAAAGTGTACAAGGCAGCTCCACAGCAGTGTGAGCTCTGTGATTGCTGTCTCCTGCCCTTTGGCTCTGGGGCAGTGCTGAAAGCAGGACAGAGGGCACAGGGAGCTACAGCAGCAGCACAGGGCAGCTGCATGTCCTCTGCAAGGAGGGTGTTTGTGGGTGGTGGGCTGGCAGCCATCCCTGCTCCCTGCTGCCTGTCTTACGGGCATTGGAAGGCTGGGATCGAGCTGAGATGCAGTTCTGTCTGACTGAACATGAGGGAACACACGCTTCTTTCCTGCCCTTGCATCCTTGCTTTGGTGCTTTTATGCCTCAGACCAAATGTTTGCTCAGGTGTTTCTTCTTACAGCTGCTGGGCTGGACAGAAAATGGTTTGTGAGTCTGAAAATATCTGAGGTTTCAATAAAATGTCTGTTCTTTAGGAAGGCTGATGAAGAATGTGTGATCATTGATGCTAGACTGGTGAAGTGCCTTTCTCACCTGGGAGGTGCGAGACAGATGTTGAAGTCAGAGTTAGTGAAAGTGGTTCATAAGTGGTTCAGAACAGCAGAAATCCGTTTTGATTGTTCGCTTCACTCTTCTTTCCCTCCCAAGCTGTGTTCCAGCTACTTGCAAACACCAGTCAGCTCTAACTGTTTTGGCAGTCTGGTACTTTTTGTGGGGTTTTCATGCCCCTCTCCTTCACCAGACCTCTGGCATGGAAGAAGCCCAAATACCTCTGATACTGCATTTGGAAAAAATATGAACGTTGTCTTAAAAGGCTAAATGTAATGTTGTAATGCAGGGGGAGGGTTGACGGGGTTTTTTATGTTTTTGTTTTATTTTTAAGGGCTAAAGGTGATAATGGATTTAATACCAAACCACACAAGTGACAAACACCGGTGGTTTCAGCTGAGCCGCAATCGGACTGGGAAGTACACAGACTACTACATCTGGCAGGACTGCAGGCAGGCTGCTGGCTCACTCATCCCTCCCAACAACTGGGTAAACACGGCAAGGGACACGCACACATCCCAAGCTGGATGCCACAGAGCAAAGTCAGCTGTAACATGATTGTCCCAGTGTTCACGGGGTCGTAAGTGACTGGTGAGAGGTACAAACTGATGTTACTACATGAGTTAGTGCAGATTAAGATTTAAACCAGGTTGGGGGGTCACTTGAAAAGTTCTTACTTAAAGTGGAATTTTAAAAATTACTTTGTTTCTTCACCTCAGTATTAAATCTTTGTTCATTAAACAAACACACGCACAAAAAAAAGGTTGTGCCCAAGTTGTTCACACATGCCCCCTTCTGTGTATTCTGTTCTAGAAACTGTGTGACAGGTACTCCGAAATCATATTTGGTGGGGAAGGAAACAAAACAATGTGATCTTGGCTATTGTCATTTTTTCTGGAAAGTGATCAGGCCAGAAAGTGTGTTGCCTATTTCAAATAGATTTATTTTAGATTTGAACTGGTAGGTGCATGATTAGGAATTTGTATATACTAAAAACTCCAGGTGGAATTAATACTTTGTAGCAATTTGTATAATTTCTCTCTATACTTAAGAGTCTTAAGAATTATATTAGCTTTTGGAATCTTTTATTAGAGAGATGGTGATAAAGTTTAACATTTTTAACTTGCTGACTGTTGTTGGCCCTTCAAAGTGATAGTACTAAATTCCAGAAAGCTCTAAAGTTAACTAAAGCTATTTTAAATAAGTTTTTAGAAGTAATTCCAAACTAAATGTTCCCACCCATGTTTTTCCCTCTATTTCAGATAATTCCCAGTGAAAGTTAACTTAATAAAAAAATCTTCAAAATCTACAACATTGAACAAGAAATACCTGTGGCAAAGCACAACTAAAGGGAGAGCAATTAGTGGCAAAAAGAAACGAAAATAATAGAAACCAAAATCTGTTCAAAATATAGTCCACCGATTAGGCATTTTGTGGTTTATTTTTTGCTTGTAAGGCCCCACATTTTAATGTGTGCATAGGAGGAAATGTTTGTTAAGTTAGTAGTTCTGATTGTCTCTCTCCCTTGGCTGAGCAGGTGAGTGTCTTTGGGAATTCCAGCTGGCAGTTTGACGAGGTGAGAAAACAATGCTATTTCCATCAGTTTGGGAAGGAACAGCCAGACTTAAATTTTCGCAACCCTGCTGTCCAGCAAGAAATCCATGTAAGTATGAAAGCCACTGGTGCTGAGCCACAGCACAGCAGCTCTGAAGCCCTGTGGAAGTCAAGTGCAGAGAAGTTTTTTACCTCTGTTGATACTAAGAGCTGTTAATTAGTCAGGGAAATGGAGGGATGGCACTTTGTTTAGCAGAGAGATATTTGCATTTTGGGTAAGCAGAGGCAATGCTGATTTGAATTACAAGGAATGCCTGGGCTTGTTGATAAGGGGGAGATAGTGAGTTTCGATCTGTCCACATGTCTGATGACTTTGCAGCAGGAAATGAGTGTTTTCACCGTGAGAGCCGTGGTGATGGTGCTGCTCCGATGGAATCTCATTCCTGTCTGCACTGTTTCCTAGCAGACAAAGTGGGATTCATTAAAATATGGGGATGTAGGCCTGAATATGGGGAGCCTGACAACTGCTGCTTCTTTTTGCAAGTTATCCCTCAGCAGGTAGTACAGCTACTTCATATGTTTAATTGAATCCATAAGGTTTGCCACTTTGTTCTGTTGAATTGTGGTGCATTTCGTGGGCGCTGCTCTTCACAGCTGCCCAGCCCTCCTGGGATGGACTCTGCGGGGCCTCTGCCCTCAGCACGTGGGTGCTGCATGAGCTTGGAGAAACAAAACGCTTCTGGTCACACCTTTTAACTCAAGCACACAATGAGACTGCTTGTGAGCTGGTCCTTGAAGAACTCTGCCAGGAACCTCTCTGTGTCTTGGTACTTCCCTTAATGCCACATCTTGCCATTTGCATGGGTTTTTTTTCCCCCATAGCACTGCACATGCTTTTTAATGATGTTGGCTAATTCCTTTTGTAAATGATACCTGGACTAGTGAAACTCCAGTAGCAAAGAGATGCTGCATTTCCTGTGCAAAAAAAAAAAAAAAAAATCCAAAAAAACAAAACACCCAAAAAACCCCCAAACAACCAAACCAAAAAGAATACATGGAAGTTGGGAAGTTTGTCCTGGTAACACCAACCTTTGGTAAATGTGTATGAAGATCATGTTAAAGAATAATTTTTGTCTAGTATTTTAATTCAAAATCCTGTTCCTGAAGGTTAGGAAGACTGAGCAGGAAGCAAATGGACTTCTGCAGAGAAGCTTAAGTCTTTGGTTCAGCAGCACAAGGGCACCCAAGAGCAGCCAAACTCAGCAACCAGCATGTTGTGGCTTTCATGTGTAAATAGATTGGTGCCAGTGAGAACCACATCAGTGCCTGATGTTTGCAGTGCTGATACCCTGTTACCCTGTTTGCTTCTGTGCTGAGCACAGGTATAAGCATGAACATTTTTGGGTAGATTCAGTGTTGGACAGACACCGTATTGAGAGCTGCAGCTTTCAGAATGGCGCTACGAGGAAGTGCAGCTCAGTGGGGCAGTCTTTATTTGCCAAACTAAAATCTGTACAGCTTGAGTGGGTACTAATTCTGCTCCAGTGTGTTCAGACAAATGTACTTCATGTGTTTTAAAAAGGCAAGTCAAGAGACTTTAAAAAATATATCTTAAAAATGTTTTTTTCCTCAGACGAAGACAAATATCACAACTAAAAGGACATTTGCAAAAACCACTCAAGAGGGACTGAACTTTGGAATTTTTGTCAAAACTGGGGCAATTAAAACTGTAGTAATATAGCTGGTGAAGTAGGATATAATTTTATTAATAGTGACTAAGATTTGAATTTGACAGTGAAATTTCAAATCAATAGCATTTGTAATTTCTTATGATAATTTCTTATGTTCCTGCAAATCAACAAATAAGTCTGAAAAATTTTTTTTAAAATTGCATCAGTCAAATAAGAGAGAACAAATGTTTTAAGAGCGCTATTGTGTAAAAGAAAATTGGTGGCACAAAGTTTGTGCAGAACAACATGTTCCTGCATATTTGAATCAATGTGTTCTAACTGTGTGCAGCCATGAGAGTGCTCATCAACGACATCACTTAGCATGAGCCCAGTTGTGTTGATGGATGAGATTAGAAACTGCTTTTAGTGAGTCGTGCCCTGGCTTTGGTCTCCTGAATTATGGGAGAAGTTAAAAAACAGTCTTTTTTTTTTTTTTCTTTTTTTTTTTTGTATGAATGAAATAGTGAGACATACTTTATTTAGCTATTAATTTGACCTTAGATCAACATGATTCACTTTAGCTTCTTGAAAAATTCGAAGCACAAATCAAGAAATGAATTGTTATGTGTTAACACCTCCTTACAAGTTTAGTTTTCTTTTAAAGAATATAATGTTTTAAATGGGGTGGGCTCACTCAGACTTTTCAATTTTTGCTTTTATCTAGGATATTATAAAATTTTGGCTCGGCAAAGGAGTTGATGGATTTAGTTTTGGCGCTGTTAAATTTCTCTTAGAAGCAACACATCTCCGAGATGAGCCTCCAGTGAACAAGTCTCAGAATGGAGTAATGTTTATATTCTGTCTTTGCTTTCTTTCCTGCACTTCCTACGGGGACAAGAGTGCCTGCTTTGACTCTTTTGAGTCTTAATTGTGGCTGTAGGAAGATCAGGTCAGCCTTGGAAGCTGGCTGGGTCCCGGGCACTCTGCACAAAGAGCACTCACCACCAAGAAGCCCCAGTAAGAACTGGAGCATAACTAAAAACCACTGGTGTAGGCCATGTGTCACACTGAGAGGTGACCAGACACCCTCCCTGTTGTTTATGTCACTTGCTTTTGCTCTGATAGTGAACTTGGTGATGTTGCCAGGTAGTGCCAGCACTAAGGGACTGTTCTCCTGTGGAGCTGGGGATCACAGACAGCTGGCCAGCTCCAAGGTGGTGGTGTTGTGTTACTGTGTCAGGGCACTGTCCATCTTTGCAGCCTGGTCTGGGGCCACAGCACCTGCTGTGCTCGCTGCTCCAGATGGGCTCTCTTGGTTAGTTCTGTGGGTGGGCTTTCCCTGCTGAAGGATGGGATCCAAAATTATCAGTCCTCTGCTACTCTGGAGTTCCTCAAGAGCAGTTCAGCTCTGTGCTGTTAGTGTTAGCATGATGAACTCATTGCAGTAAAAATTCATGAACTGGTGCAGTGTCTCAGGAAAGAATGGGGAGAATTTGGAGAATTCTGAAACCTAGAACATTCATTAACTAATGTGAAGTACTATACCTTGCTTTAAGGAGCATATCACAGCCTATTCCCAGCTGTACCATGACTACACCACCACACAAGTTGGTTTGCATGACATCATCCGCAGCTTCCGTCACACCATGAATGAGTTCAGCAGAGAGCCTGGCAGATACAGGTAACCAGCACAGCTGGCAGTGTTTTCTAGTATTCATCTCCCTCTTGCTAGCAAGAAAATGTTCTTTTACTAACATAATATGCCACAGAAATGCAAATCTTCCAGTGCAGATAGCAGTGCAGAAGCTGTACTATCTCTTCCCCAGTGTATGCAGAAAGGAATTGGCCCTGTTAGCTCTGCTCCATCTGTATAAAGGTAGAGCAGACAAGGAAAACATTCTAATCACAGAGACACTAATTTATCAACCCCGTGACTGATTTATTCTTTAGTTTTAATAGTGCAGTTCAAGTGAGACACACAGAGAATGTTAAAATCACACAGAGGTTGAATTTGAAAGGACCTCCTGAAGTTCTCTGCTCCAAACTCCCTGATTTTTAGGGCCACCTGGAGCCAGTTGCCCAGGAGCTTGTCCAGATGGTTTTTGAACATTTCCAGTAATGGAGACTCTACAACCTCCCTGAAAAAGCAGTGCCAGGGCTCAGTCGCCCTGACTGGTGGGAGTTTCCTGGTGTTCCTGGGGAAACACCTGTCCTGTGTTTCAGTTTGTGCCCATTGCCTCTGGCCCTGGCACTGGGCACCACTGAAAAGAGCCTGGCTCTGTCACCTTTGCACCCTCCCTTAAAAACATGGATGAGATCCCCCTGAGGCTTCCCTTCCCCAGGCTGAACAGCCCCAGACTGCAGCCTTTCCTCCTAGGAGAGATGTTTCAGTCCCCAGTGGCCTTAGTGGCAGACTGAAGAGGAAGGATTGCCACCCTCACTTGTGGCAGCATTCCTCCTAGTGCAGCCCAGGATGCCATGAGCTGCCTGCAAGGGCACATGGATGGCTCCTGGTCAGCTTGAGGGACCCACAGGTCCTCTTCTGTGAAGGAAAGCATGGAAATTGCTGGAACGGTGCATGTGGACATAGATACAGAAACATAAAACCTCAGTCAGATACTTTAGCCTTGTGTTGACTCTTGTAGATTTTCCTCCAGCAATTTCCAAGAAGTACTTCTCCTTGATTCCTCAGCTGCCTTACAAAGTATTGTTTCTCTGTATTAATCTTCTTTTGAAGGGGAGGGGGAAGTGACCATAATTCTTAATGCTCTGTGTCCAACTATTTCTAGCTTTATTTCTGTTCTGTGTAACCAAAAATGAACCAAAAAAGCTATTTGTGTACTTCTTTGTAGATTTATGGGTTCTGATGATGATGAAAAGGAAGATATTGAAGCAACAATGATGTATTATGGAACAACTTTTATCCAAGAAGCAGATTTTCCCTTCAATTTCAACCTAATTAACATGAAATATTTATCAGGCAACAGTATTTTTGAAGCTGTCAACTCGTGGATGAAAAACATGCCTGCAGGAAAATGGCCAAACTGGGCAGTAAGAATTCTAGACCAACTCTCATAGGAAGGGCTTGTTCCTGTAGGTGACAGAAGCCACACACACACACACACACACACACAGAGATTTCAATGGGATTAGCAGCAGCCTGTCCTTGTGAAAAATCTCCGCTGCTGTAGTTGGAGTCCTTGGCACTGTCCGGCTCTCCTGCCCTTCAGTAAAAGTTCCACTCCCCTTGCAAGGATGACAAAAGGGGAATTTATGATCATGCCTCTCCCTTAGTGTCTCCAGTGGCTAAACCACCCGTGAGAATGGAACTGGGACAATTATCTTTGACCATAAACTGACTCACTGCAATGGATTCTGGAACTCGCCCGGGGCCAGGGCAGAGAAGAGCAGGCAGTGGAGAGCAGTTAACTTAAATCATTGCTCCTCATTTTCCTAGGAAGCATGTTTGGAATGTGCAAAGGATCTTTTCAAAGCAAGCAGAGCAGTCCTCGCTGTAAGCAGGGAGAGTTGTTATTTATCATCTCTTCCTTACTTCTGCCTCATGTGCTGCTGGCAGGACTTCTGTGTATTCCATTTTTTGGGACAGAAATTTGTAATGGCATCAAAATAAAGATAATGGACCTCACAGGCCTGGAAGGGAAAGAAAAAACCCCAAAACATTTACTACCTTGTCAAATTAGTTAATCAGTTTCACATATGCATGAAATTTTATAATGCGTGTCTAACAGAATGGTGTTTTCTTCAGGTTGGAAGCCCTAATGCTGCTCGGATTTCAACTCGGATTGGGAAGGAGTACATCAATGTCATGAACATGCTGCTTTTAACCCTTCCTGGCACTCCTGTAACTTACTATGGTGAAGAAATAGGCATGGAGAACATTGCATCAGAAAATGTAAGTGAAGAGCATGTAGACAATGGTCCTGTTGTTGTTTAGTTCCAAGTGACAGAACATTCAAAAATGCAAGAACTTTTGTTTTGCTAACCAAACCCAGTCTTTCTCACTCCTTAAATGGTTTTCCATGTTCCTCATGGCAAATCTCTGTACAGCTTGTGGAAATGGCCAGGCTAGAGACCAGAACCAAGGCCTTTATGTGTGTCTGAACTGGTAGACTTCAGTTATGGATGCAGATTTCTGTCCTTCTCTGGATCAGTCTTGCATGGTTTCCAGCAGTGTTGCTTCAGCAGAAAGGACAGCAAGTGCCAGCACTGGGCCTGGCCAGGGGTTAGGAGAGGTGTGCTGCAGACATATGGGGGAAGATAACTGAGCTGTCTCCTTCCTTCCATGGAAGTGCCCACGTCATGATGCCAGAGCCCATTATTTCCTGGCTGTTTTTTAAAGGAAATCACGGTTCTGATTCTGTCCAAGCCACAGCTGTCATGAGCGTGCCCACGCTCAGAAAAAGGGACCTGCAAGAAGTGGGGGCTGCCTAGTGGCAAGCAGAGGTGGCTTTTGGTCATCATGCACAGTCTGTCCCAAAAGGGAACAGCTCACCTCTGCCTCTCCTGACCGTATTTGAGCACTGTAAGGACATGGTCCTATGGCAGATGCTGCTTTTCCTGTGGAAAGCCTCTGTTAGGGAATGAGGCAGCTGCCGGCGATGTTAGAAATGGCATTGGCTGCCTTTCTGTCAAAGGGAAAGAGGTACTTAAAGCACAGGATCATCTCCAGCCTTGTCTGATTCAGATGTGGGGAAATGATTCTCTGATTTAAAAGGAAATCTCATTTCCTCTGAGAAAACCCTAGGTCAAAGTATCTCCTGCATTTTCTTGCTGCTGCTGATTACTGCTGACAGAGTGATTCTCTTAAGGAAAGTGGCTCACCCTGAGCTCCTCAGGGTTCACTCTCTTTTAGTGGCTACCCTGTGGCTCAGGGCTTTGGAACAAATGCAAACCCACCCTTCACTCAGGCTGGAGAGGAAGGCTCCCTGATTAATGGGCGTCTTAAGAAAATGGGAGAGTATTTGCTCAGGATGATATAGGCTTTAGTCCCAGCATTTCAAACACTTCAGGAGACACTGAAAGAGGTAAAGATGAGAGGCAGTGTTACCAGTGTTGAAAACTTAGGATTTTTTTCCCTGCTTTTCAGAATATGCTAAAAAGGAGAAACCCATTATTTATAATGTCACAAAGCAAAGTGACAATTTCTTTTGTTAGGCTGATGCTCTGACAGACTGTATTGAAAAGTGTCCTTTATATGAAAAACAGTTTTCATGGAAAACAAACACTCAAAGTATGTGCAAAATATTTTATGCCCTCTTATATCATTAAATTTAAGTGTCAGATCTTTTGGCAGCTCTTCAGTAACAATGAGGAAGCTTTTTCAGAATTTTTCTGAATTCTTTAAAATGAGAACTTCAGACTTTTTTTACATCGACATTTTTAATCAGCTAAAAGCCAGTTTTCAATAGTTTTGCACTTGGAAATAATAATTTTACCTTTCTAACACAAACAGTCCTGTCAAAATTGTACCCCTTGCAAATGTAAGCTTGAAGAGTTCTGGGGTGAAAAGTGCAATACTTAGAAAATAACAGACACTGAACAGCAATTACTTGTTGTTTACTGTTATTTTAATGACATCTCTTCTAAGAACTCATTACCTCACATATTCACTCTCTGCATGCCTAGATATTTATCAGAATATCCTGGCTGTCATCAGTAAACTTTTATCCAACCATCTGTTGCAGAGGATGACAACTCTAGTAAAAGTCATTTGGGAATCCCACATTTTACCCAGCAATGCTGTATCTGAGATTATACCCTCCCTCCATTTCAGGAACTGTCTTCATTCTCATTTTCTCCTTAGATTTGGACCACAATTACATCCTCATTATTTTTAACTTAAACCAAAGAAAGCAATACTGAAAGGGAGATAATCTGGGAGATGTGAGAACATGCTATTCAAAGAATAATTTTTAATATGCTAAACACCACTTTTATTTTCTAGGCAACCCTCCCAGAGAAATCCCCCATGCAGTGGGATGGAAAAGTTAATGCTGGTTTTACTGAAGGCAACAGCAGCTGGTTACCTGTTAACTCCGACTACCAAAGTGTAAATGTGGAAGTAGGTATCTACATGTGTGACAAACTAATGGTCTCAATGGTCTAAACATTTTAATGTATCTACTTTGCTCTGGCTTCCTTTTGGTAGTGAGCATTGGTAGCGGGAACAAACTCAAGGGAAAAAAAAAGCACTGGATCCTCACAAGTTTTATTGGAAAAGGAAATCCTTGCACAACAAGGAGCTACTTCATCTCTATTAATTTAAGTAGAGTAACTACAATTATGATGTTGATGTTGCAATTTGGCTCTTTAACATCCTTTTAATCCTTTTGATGTTAAATTGAAAACTGGTTTCTTTCCCCCCAGTTCTATTGCAATAGAAAGAACTGGTTTTGTAACAAGAACTTGACATAGACCAACTCTAACATAAGTAGAGCAGTGAATCAAACAGATTTTGCTGACCTACAGTGCTGACCAAAATTGAAGGCAGAAAAAACCCCTAAGACAGCAGAAATATAAAGCAGAAATAAACCCTGTGACTGCAGTAGACTGGACTCAATGAAAAAGATTCAGTGTCAAGCTTTGAATGGCTGTGGCTTTCTCCTGAATCAACAGTACTGAAAGGAAGCTGTGGGAGGAAGCAATCGCATTAGTGCTGGGGAACTGTTGTGCTTAATAAACTCTGCGTCTGCCACTCCACACGTGCCAAGGAAGTGCATGAGGAAAAGCAGATTTTCAGTGAAATTTGCAGACAGATTTGAAGAGGGATAATTGTGAGCACGGAATTCCGATAGGTGCGTTCTCAGCAGCCTGAGTGGGTGGGAGAAGGGAGCTGTATCCCCGCAGTGCCAAGAACTGACCCTGTTGGTGCTGACTGTTGCAGGCCCAGAGCACCTGGTCCAACTCAACCCTGAGTGTGTACAGAGCGCTGACCTCGCTGCGGAACAGTGAGCTCCCCATGAATCGAGGCTGGATGTGCCTCATCTGGAATGACAGCAACGTCTTTGTGTACGTGAGGGAGCTGGATGGGTTAGACAGAGTCTTCATGATGGTGCTCAACTTCGGCCAGGAGTCGACAACAGACCTGCAGGCCATAGTTCCTAACCTTCCCTCTGAAGCTGTAATAAGGCTCAGTACTCATTTTAGCAATGCTGGTAAAGTGGTCAATACCAAACTAATTAAAACTGAAATGGGAGAAGGCCTGGTCCTTGAATATAAAACAGCAAAGCCTGTTCATACTATGGAAGCTTTTCAAGGGAAGTGTTTTGTGGCAGAAAAAGCTTGTTATTCCAAGGCCCTCAATTTACTCTACATGAACTGTTAAGTAGAGGAGTAGAATACCCATGCTTTCATGTTAATTTAGAAGATAGTAGCTTCACGGAAATGCTAAAAATACTCAATTTTCTTCAGCTTTTAAAATGTTATTTGTGTACAAAATAAATGTCCTGAAAGATCAGATACATAATTGTCTTGTATCTGTATTTGTGATGAAAAGGAAAAAGAATGGTATCAACTTCCCCTTAAGATCTGTGGAGAAGAAAAGTAAACCTGTTCTGAAAACTGTCCTGTTTAAGCACGTATTTTTGGGAGGAGAGGGAACAGTTGCTTTCTGGGTGCTGACCCTGGAGGTTGCTGGCCTGTAAGTGCTCCTGTGGAATCCCAAGCCTGTGGCAGTTCACTGTAACTTTTTAAAGTCTGCAGATTTGTAGAAATTTTTCCAAAGGGGTGGCCCTATATTTGCTAAAACAGGTGAACACAAGCAGGACTAGTGTATATTGTTGTGATGTCTCACCTCTTCTCTCAAATCTAGTAACTCTGATTATCTTCAAAGTGAGTAAGATAAAGAACAAAATGTAGCTAATATCTAATTCCACACTCATAACTGCATTTCCAGTTGATTCTTCCCCTCCCTGCTGAGTTAGAATATGTTTGCATTCTCTTATTTCTTTTCCTGCCCTAAGGCTGAGGTGAGGGGTGTGTGCTTTAGTTCAGAGGAAGCAGCTGAACCAACCCTACCGAATGTCACACTTGTACACGTGCTCTGATTTGCTTCTGCTGCACCTGCAGTGGTTGATGTGGCCCTAGGTGTGCATCACACATCTCTTTTAACAAGCAATGCACAGCAGATTTGTGCCTTGCTCAGAGGGCAGCTAAGCTATGAATCAGGCTGCTTTAGTGGGGTCATTCTTTTTGTTTTTACCCTCTGGAGATACTCTGGTATCTTCTGACACATTGATCTTGTCCTCCTGAGGGATCTGTCACCTCCTTCTTAAGATTACCATTCTAAGTAAGATAACAAGAGGTAAGGTAGGTAGGCAAGATTTTTAATGTATTCAGATCACAGTTCTGCTCAAACTCCCATTCTTGAGAGTGCTTTTCTCTGCAGTTTGGTCAGTCCCACCACATGATCAGTACACCAGGGCTGCTGCGCAGATAGGGAGGGCAGCAATCACCATCACCTACATATGGGAACTAGTTCTGGAAGTAGAGACTTGAATGTCAGATGCTTCAGAAGAGTTCTGCTGCCTTGTGTAAGATGTACCTTGCAAGAGATGCCTGTGCCAAGTGCCTGTGGCTCTCCTGTGAGGCTCTATGTGCTCCAGCTCTGCTCCTGTAGTGCTGCTCCGCTGGCTCACTGAACAGAGCTGCTGGACAAACTCACTTCTGCTGGCACCTGCTTCTGCACAGCCTGGCAGGGCAGAAATCCAATTCTTGGTCTGTATTTTTTTTTAAGGCAATGCCACACCCAGCTTTGTGTGCTTGTGCCCATAAAGCAGGGATCCGAGAGAAGAGATCCTCTGGAGAAGGTGTTTGCTTTCCATACAAATCCAAATCTGACCAAAGTTTTTCAGGTGGTCAGTGTGTTTAGGAGTTATTTGCAGGATTTGCTGTGATGCTGGGGATGGCACACTTCCTCAAGTTCTCTGTTCAGAAAAGCAAGATGTCTTGCAACCTAAAATAATGAAAATATTTTATTACAAAGTAAAGTTCTTTGCACTCTAAACATTCAGGCTCTTGTGCAGCTATTCTAGTCATCTTCCTTTCCTATTCTAATGCTTAGAAATACCTTGTCCTAAGACATCATGGAGCTTTTCCTGAAAGAATTCATCTCGGGAATAAATGCCACAACCACCAAATTAACATTTTCTAGGATTTGTTAAAATTAAGAGTAATAAAATTTGTATCTGACTGTGACAGTCCGAGACATCAGTAAAAATATGTTAGGTCTTGGCAGTATTTTGCTTTTATACAAGCATGTTTAACAAACATGCTTGTATAAAGTGCAATTCTTGAAAGCTAACTGTAATAGCTTTGATGGCACAGATCATGCATTTCAAAATGTAAAGATCCAACCCATCATGTATGTTTTACACAATGAGGAAGATAGGAGTAAATAGTATGACAGTTTTAAGCACTTAATACTCTACAGAGTAAGACTCTTCCTGCTGGAACGATGTTTTGCACAACTTGGAACCTTTCATTCAGAGCTCCCAGCACATTACAGTGGGAATTGAACACTATTTTAAGGCTATTTCAGTAATCTGGCTCTGTCACACTCTTTTATATCTGTACAAGTATATATTTGTATAAAAATAGATATAATTTTATATAAAGATTGATGGGTTTTAAAATTTTTATACACACACACACACACACACATATATATATATATATATATATATATATAAAATCAGCAGTTGCTCTAGCAGTTTTTCTTTATAGTTTAAACATATATTCAATGACTGCCCAGCTGCTGAGGCTGAAGAATTCCTTGAGGGGACACATCTCTGCAACACGTTATGGAGCTGTGTGGTAAAGGGACCATACCTCATGCAGTGAGTGCTCCCAGGATGAATCACAATGACTGCCATTTGCCTGGACATCTAGGATGATATTAGGAATCCAATTTCCTGGAACAATTAAGTTGGTCACTTAATGATCACTTTACATTGAATGAACAAGGAAAATATTAAGTGGGTATGTGAATTGTTTAAGAATAGCTAATTCTGCTTTCTTGTCCTGACAGAATTTCTATTATTCCTTAAGAAAAAGAGAATTGTAGAGGGGCTTTCTGAATGAATTATCTGTATTTCTAATAACTGCATATTTGGCAAGTATTCATCTATTTAATATATTTGTTCTCTCTGAGTCTTTTTGGAAAGCCATGCTCTTTTCTTCCTGCACAAAGAGCACAACAGCAACCGCAGCACTGGCTGCAATTTCTCAACCACTGCAGTTGTGCTGCTCAGAGTCAGGGCATCGTGAAATGTAGAAAAGGTTATTCAAGATCCTTTTGGTAATGACGGTAAAAGCCTCTCCCCAGACTGGATGGTACAAGAAAAATGTCAAGGTGGAATGTGCTTTTTGCTGGAAACTCCCAAAGCTAGGGTTAAGTTTCAGGTATAAAAGCACCTGTGCCTTGGCCTTGTCACTGTAGCTTGGACTAAAGACCTGCAGCTTTAGCAAAGTGAGAAAAATAGGTTTTTATATAGCAGCAAAAATAAGATTTTTCTCCAAGGGTTGCTGAGAACTGCAGCCTGACCCTGTCAGCAGCTGGAATGACAGTGTGGGTTCACCCTGCACTGTCCAACAACTGCTCTTTGTGGAGGCCTAAGAAAGAGTGAGCCCTCTCACAGCTTCCAGTCTTTGTTTTTGCATCTCAGAGAGTGTTCTGAGTCTGCTGTGGAGCTGGTGATAGGGGATGGGATTGCATCTGAATTCATTTAAGGAGGAGTCACTCTCTGTGGTCTTTAATCTACATGACTATTAAGATTTTGGTTCAGTTAACTCCATTTATCTGTGATATTCTTATCCTTACCTTTCTTACTCGCTCTGCTGGCATGATCTAGTGCAGCCTTCCTGAGTTTCTGCACATACTGTAAAATTCCTGTTAGTGGTACCCGTTCGTCATTTTCATATGCCGTGATAAAAACTGATGGATAGCACTGAGATGAAAAACCAAAACCAGTTAAACACTTGATAACAGGTGTTTCTCACAGAGTAACACATTTTTCTCTTACTATACAACTTGTTAGGGTTCATTTAAGAACTCATCTATTACAAAATTACTTAGTATTTTCTAAGAGTTTTATCACTCTAACTGCAAAAAGTACTTTGGTCTGAAAAATGACTTCACAGTTGGGTATAATCTACTTGTAAAAGGTCACAAAAACATCTTCTTCCCATTGGAAAAGGTCTGATACCTGTCTGCTTGCTGATGATTGTAAAAAAAGAAAAATGGAGTAATAATCATGGAATAGTTTACCTTGGAACAATAGTTGGAAGTTTATTTTTGCAATTTTTCTGCACAGAAGTTGTTTTTTTAAATAGTAAGAATTTTTCTTAATGAAGCTGTGCAACACAGCTAACACATTGTCAAGTAGAGATTTCCCTTGAGATGACGATGTCAAACTATAGGTCCTCTTCCCTTTCAGTGTTTATTTAATACCTCTAGAAAGGTATTAAATCATTGGAAAATACCTCCACCTCCACTGGAAGATACCTCCAGTGGAAACCTCCTTCCTCCTGTGTCTGCAGAAAAGCCAGCAAAACACAGTAGGATGTCAAAACTCCCCCACAAAAGAAGGTATTTTGCGTGTTGAGATTTGCTATACAATAATCTGTTACTTCCTGGAAGTCCTAAAACAAAAGTAAGTTTAGAAATTCATATCATTTAGAAGAAGGCATTGGGTTAATTTTAGTAGTCACTTGTGATTCCAACTATTGCTAAGATTATTACTGAAATAATTTATATTGGAGGTTTTTTAAAAATTTCAGTGATCTTCTGGTTTTCCTATAAACCACTACACTTTATGCCTGAAGTATTCTGCACAGAAAGCATACTTTTACCTGTGGCTTAATATTCTGGTACGGGCAATAGTTTTTGATATACTTCATACATTTTTCATCTTCTAATGGATTTCCCCATTCTTCTTGTTCCTCAATTGTCAGTGGGAGATGAGTTTTCATCATTGTATTTAGAACATCTACGAAAGGAGCCTTAGAAGTCATTAAAAAAAAAAAAGTTGGCAAATAGGATAGAGGACCTTGAGTATCTGAGTCAAGGTGTTCTCAAACAAATGAGGAGAGTGAGCTTTGAACTGGAATATTTCCAATTCTGAAAGCGGTACAATAACACAGATAACACAGTTTAATGTTACAATCTGTACAAGGTTTGCAGCAGCTCACCTGTAAAACCATGGCTCTGATCAGTGCTGGATCTGTGTTGCACAGGGCTCCTGCGAGAACTCCCCCAGCACTGGCAGCTGCCAGTGCTGTGTGTTTGGGTTGAGAAAATCCCAGTTGGTGCAGCAGCATGATGCAAGCCCTGAGGTCATGGAGACCTTTGAGTTTATTATGCTGACATCCATCTCTGTGCCAGCTAAGGCCCTGCTCTCCTCCACCCCTGAAATTTAATGCAATTCAAGTTGGAGTCTCTTCAGAAAACATTACATGGCACAGTTTCAGATAACAAAAGAACAGCAGCAGCCACAGAGTGGCACATCATAGTTTGCTTTCCCAATTAACTCTTGTCTACTTTTGCGTTTACCCTTCTTTATGGCTAAAAGAGAAAATATGAAGGCAAAATAAATCCACTCATGATGATTGGTGAAAATAGTAACTGTAGAAGGGCACATGTGCTTGTGTCCTGAAATCCACAGGAAAAGCAACACTTTAGGAAATGACATTGTAGGCAATAAAAAAATCAGATAATATTATCTTTTTATACAGGAAACTATGAAAATATTGAAAACATTTCCAATACTTCCATTACTAACACTACTACTTATTAAAAACAGTAGAATAGTATTTCTGAGCTCCACACCAGACTCTCAGGATTTGTCTTCTGCTTAGCTTAAATTCTGAGACTGTTGTAAAGTTGGGTTTGGGTTTTTTCCTCCCTAATTTGTGAATTTCAAGCCCTACTTGAAATGTTACACTTTGTAGTGTAGAATTATAAAAATAATTTATACTTTCTATGCAACCACAATTTTGGTTCTAAGCCACCTGAAGCTTCCTCTTCTGGTTTCAGGTTTCAAATAGATTATTTGATTAGCCTGCCATCTTTGGATGACAAATCCATCTTCACATAGGACTGACCTGCATCTTAAGATTCTTGGTGGGGTGTGAGGAAGAACAGCACAATGCTTGCCACTGAGTACAGCAGACTGAATATATTTGCTGAATTTGTTTTGGGACTGGTATTTCCAACTCAACTGGTATTACTCATTCCTCCCCTTCTCTCCCCTCCCTCAAGTGGTTCTTTTGTTATCTTCCTTAGCTACTGAGAAAAATTTGAAGCCTGTTGTACCTTGCAGTTTTATAAAACTGGTAGATTTGTAGCTAAACTGGAGACAGATGATTTAGCCAATAAAAGAACAAGGGTTGCAGATTAAATGCTTAGTTGCTGCTGTGGAATGTAAATGGCTTTCAGAAGACTCAGACTCAGCATTAACACACAATGCTCTCAGAAGGAGAGGGAGATAACATGTCATGGCAATTTGAGCATCTAACCAAATTTTTTCTTGAGCAAAGATGAGACAAAAAGTAATGAGACTTGAAAAGATTAAAAGTTACATACAGCCATCATGTAGATTTAAGAAATTGAAAATGTAGTGTGCACTTGTGGCTTTTTCCCTGATGTAAATTAAAAAACTACTTAAATTTAAAAATATAAGAAGATATACATCACTAGGTATAGGTACACACACAAAAAAATTGTTGCATCTTCAGTTGTACATGAACAAGAATCTGTATCCTGTAAAATAAAATCTTATTTCCATTTTATATTTGACTTACCTAACATGGCAATATGCTAATATCCAACCCTCTTCAATTAACATCAGCTTCTCTTCTTTAAAGCTCATGTTCAAATCTATGCCATAAGCTCCATATACATGAACTAGAAGTGGTCTCCTGTGTAGTTCTTTAGAATTCTTATTATGGAAAACTGTAATTGGCACCAAAGTTTCATCCTGAAAAAGAAGGAGTAGTTTTACAATAAGGGACATTGCAGAAATCTCAATGACACATGGCAATGAAAACTTCAATTATTTATTTTAAAATGTGTTTTTTTGATTACAGTAATTTTTTTTCACTTAGAGTGTACAAAGCACTCTTGAAAAATAAAGCCTGAGACTGAACCTCTGCTGTGTGGGCTTACAGATGCAGAGTATAAATTCATTTAAGTGTAACACCTGAGGAGTTTTTAAACTACCAAAGCACCCAAGTCTTCCTTCCCCCTTTAACACCAAGAATATATGTTATTAACAATAGAGTTTACCACTTACCATAGCACAAACTCTTTATTAACATCTCCAAATTTTTAAACTCAGGCTGTTAAAACTTTCCTTTCTTGATCTGCACTGTGCAGCTGGTTATGGGGTGTTCTTTTCAACAGCTGGCACCTTTTTCATTTATCATGTGGAGTACAATACCATTACATCAACTAGCAATTCTCACTTATACTAAGCTTCTTGACTCATCATGTGCTGTTATCTCCTGTGGAATACCCAGGTTAATGGAAAAAAAAATCACGACTCTTTCTTGTTCTTCTGTATAGCACTGAAGAAAACACCCACTGTTTAATAACTATAGCACCAACTGCTCTTTACATTTTTTAATCTCTGTTCCCTGCCAAATGCACTTTCTTTAAATGGGTGGGGAGGAAGGAAAGAATAAAAGGAATGGGAAAAAGACTGAAAAATCTTACCTTGCTTTTAGCTAGTAAACGTGTAGTGTGACAATTCGTAATAATTGGTACCTCTTGCACAGCTTGTTCAATGAGATTATTTTCTTTAAATGAATATGCAAAACGCTTAGGGGGGTGTACTGGGGAGGAGAGCTGAAAATAGCAGGTGCTGGTGGTATGTTCAGGATGAGATTCCAATTCAAATTCACAGGCCCACGTAGGTAGCTGAAAAAACATGGCATTTCAAGTGAGACCCTTACACTGCTTCTGTAAATTTAGCTTAATATGTCCTTGAGAGTAAAAGACTTTGGATATTAACTAATTATCTTTGTGTGTAGCACAATCTGTATTTCATTTAAATCCAGTAACAAAACAGTCAAGAAGTGAAAGACTGGTGGACTTTTCCCCTAAAATCATTGGATAAAGTTAGACAATGAATTAAAAACAAAAAATAAATTCAAATTCAGTTTAAAATGGGTATTGGTGCAGACTTTTAAAAAGAAAACATTTGAAATTATTCTGCATCAGTTTTATTTTTTAGATCCTATTTTTCCTTGCATTTCCAGTTCTACTTCAACACGTTATACAGCCAAGTCCATGTCAGCTATTATGCTTTTACTGTGAGTTAGCTCAGTAATGCTAAGCCACTGAAAACCCCTGCCTCTTAACTTTGTTCCTAGTGCCAGCCATTGTGAAGAACAAAACCCTTTTCCTGGCACATTCACCCTCAGATACTTACTGTTATTATATTTAAGGTTTTTAACTCTGCTAAGAATGAAAGAAATCAAGATTCATTCTTTGAGAGCAGCAGGGACATAGCCAAACCCTCTGCCAGACCATTACTTACTTGGGTTAGGCTGCTAGAGGCTTCTGAAAAGGCAGCAGAAGTCCAAGTTCTCCTGAGTAACTGCAGGCCTTTTCTGAATAAATAAACTATGGCCATTTTAAAAAATTGAAGATTTTGGAGACCATACAGTGTACTTTGTCAAAATCCTTTTTCTGTAGCAGTTTTATGGAGTGCAGCATTGGCAGCTTGTTGCAATAAACTTGGGAGTTGTTCAGACTGTATTTTTCAGGAAAACAAATCAATTAAATATTTCACCTGAATGGTCTTCCGAAATTGGATTTGGCTTAAGTTACTTTGTTTTTAATCTACAGGTATTTAACAACTAGAGAATGGAAGCAAATCCTTTGCACCATTTTTACTGCAATATCAACTCTTCTCATTTATTATGGGACAGTGTCCATACTTGTTTTCTGAACATTAATCTTTTTCCTGTGGGAGGGGCCTTGCTTACACCAATGAGTGTAAGCAAAAAAGGCTCAGTAAAACTAAGTAGAGCATTTAGGGAACTAAGTTCTGTTTTACATTAGAAGTCAGTTATGTTGTGAAGAGCTTGATTGTAACCCATTGAAGAAAGAACTGGCTCACAGGACAGCTGCTCTTTAACTTCCTAAATGCTGCAATAAGCCACCACATCAAATCCTGAAGAACAGCCACAGGTAACACATTTAGTCATAACAATGAAATTGCCAGTATTAATAGCTTCCAAACCGCTTTTTACTTGTGGAATTTATCTTTGCTTTCATTATGTTATAAAAACAAACAAACAAACAAGCAAAACAAAACAAAACAAAACCAAAACAAAACAAAAGAAAAAAAGCTGGGAAAATATTATGCTGGTTAGACCAAGCTAAAACATACCTTTATCGACTGAACTGAGTGTGAAACAAAAGAAATCACATTTAAGTAAAGATGACCAGCGTTCTTCAGGAACATAATACAGTCATCACTGAACATCTCAAAGTCTATTAGCTTGGTTTTCTTTTCCGGTGCATAAACTAACTGCCAGTTCTCCTTGCCACTGGAAGCTACTGGTGCCTTCATCAACTATAAAAAAACCAAACAACCTTGCATTACTAAAATGTACTAAGAGTTACAGATGAGAGATACAAACTTATAGGTGATCTCTTACATTTTTCTTGCAAAAAATACTTATTTGTATTTGGAGTGTTTGCCTGTCTAAAACTGGATATTTTTAAACTCCCTTTACTTAGGCAAAATGGAAGAGCAATGCAATAACATTTGGAGAAGACAAAGTCTCAAAGATTACTCTACAGAAGATTGTAATACAGTAAGTGCTTCAGTATGGCCAGCACAATTGCAGGTGGGTTTGATTACACAAACTGAGATCACCAACTTAAGTTTTGATATAGGGGAAGTGACTGTTGAAGCACAGTCATTTCTTGATGCTGTCAAAGGAGTTAGGATCAAACTGGCCTCCTACAGGTGAGACTCCATGCAGCACTATCAGTCTTTTTAATCCATGCAGCTCTCACTCTTACTTTATTTCAGTAAGCTGTGATGAACAGAATTAAAAGCCAACATTACTATTTCTATATGACCTGCAAGCGGTATCTAAATTAATCCTATTAATGTAATTATCAGTCAAAATTGCCTTATATTCTGCAGGTTCTCCATATGTAGTAAGAATGTACAACTGCTCCTTTCTGTGCTCGACGTGGTAAAGGACCCCCGTGGTTCGTGCTTGTACAAGAGCAGGTGACTCAAAGGGACGTCTGCAGTCAACCAGCCAAACTTCTGAGGTTGTCTTGCTGTTGCTGTTGATAGTGAGAAAATGCCTGTCTTTTGTGCAATAAAGGTCTACAAAGAATCTGTAGGGAATCATTAAAAAAAAAAAAAAGAAAAAGCTTAAATTTTATCAATATTTTAAAATACATCAGTTGTTTCAGAATCATGGGCTTCTATCTGCAAAGTAAAAAACAACATTTCTGTAAGCAGACTGTAAGCAGAAATTTCAGGCTCCTTGGCTCCCAGACCCATTTCGGCTGCATTTACCTTGGGATTTAAAACCCTTCAATCTTGTGTGTGAAACCTGAAATCTGCAAGGAAAGCTATTTAGTTGTTGTCCAACTAAATCCAGGTTTTTGCATCATTGAGCTAGACTGGAAGCTCATTCAGGCAAAATGTAGAACGTTTTATTGAGCTTGTAACCCTATTTAAAAAAAATAGTAAAAAGTAGTGGATAGTTAAAATAATAAATGACATCATGTCGGAACAGCAATAACAAAAGTAAGAGCTATTAAAAAATTATATTGTTAAAATGTCTACGTGCTACTGACCTATCTGTCTGAAGCAAATAGACAAAAATAAATATTTAAAATATTTAAAAATAAAAAAAAGCACAGAGGCCTATATGAGGCAAGATGGACAGTATTGGAGTGATAAAGCTGGAAACTAGGCACTGGTTTTGGAACTAAGAAACTAGGAACTACCTACTGGATTTAAATCCCTCTAAAATCTAGGAACAGAAAGCAGAATGATAACCAGTGCCTGGATGCTAATAGTAAAGAAGTTCAGGCTGAAATTCAGATTCAAATTTCTGTCAGTTATCTGAGTTAACTAGAATTTCACATCTTGGACCAGAACAGTCTCTTTGCCATTTTGAATCCTTAAGACTGGATGTCTCTAAAAGCAAAACTGTCCAACACAAAGATCCAGATTCCATCAAGAAAATGTAGAGTTGAGTACCATAATCTGCATCACACAGATCAGATACATGACTGCAATGATGACCTTTCTAGGATTCAGAGTATTTGACTGGTGAAGAAAAGGATGCTTTAGATAGTATTTTCAGTGCCTTTAATTATTTGCAGGTGGAGGATCTCAAATATTTTTGGTACTATTGTTTTCTCTAATTGCACCCTCTTGACATCTTTAGTACAGGCACAGAGGGGGAGCTAAAGTTTGCAAGAAAAATCAGCCTTCTGCCTGTCTAATACCCATGAATTTGGCAAGAATGTGGCACTGCATTCAGTAGAGATTCCAAGAGTTCAACTCTGCTGACCCTGCTTCTAAGAGGGTTGAGCTGAAATGCATATTACACTTCTCTCCAAGGATTATGACCTTGATATTGCAATTTTTTTTATCTTTGTAGCTTAAAAAAAAAATCAAGACATTTTAAGTTTCTAAAAAAATATTTGATTGCAACTAGAAGAGCTGGTGAGATGCAGAACAGAACTGCTCAATGGCAATAGAAAATAATGTCTTGCCATCTCCAATGAAGGAGTTCAGCTATGAGCTGCAATAGCACATGAACCTTTAGAGTAAGTTTCTCGTAGATCTACTGTAATGACTGTGACCTTCAGAATTATGCCAACAGTTTCCCTGTGGGGAAGTGCCAGGTCAGTGCAACTTGATTTTCCAAAACGATGCATCAAATGCAGCTGGAAAAAAAAGATCTTATTTATTCCATCTCCATTGCAGATTTTTTGTTTGTTTTCTTTTTTTTTTTCCTGATGAAAGTATAATTGGTATTTCTTTACTGAATATGTAACTTGAATTAAGAATAATCACAAATATTTATGCAGTGCTGTACAAATATACCATGTGCTGCAATGCTGAAAAGCTAGTTCTGCACTCAATTTAGCAAAGAGCTTTCTTGTCTTCCTAAACCACTGCTTAAAGAAAGGTTATTGAGAGGGTATTCAGTCAACAATAGTTCTGTCTCTTGGAATGTTGTAATGATTTTTCTCATCCATTACCCAGAGCAAGGATTAGCCTGAACTTATGTATTTTTTTAAAAAGATGTATCAGACATCAATAGCAGAGAAAACAAAATGAAATCTGCGGTCTGATTTACCCTGTATGAAACTGTCACACATTCATTAAAGGACACCCTGACCTGAGAGTGACCTTGACATTTATAAACTCAGCTGAACTCATGAGGTAAGAGAGGAAAGTTAAATCTCTGTTGATCACATATCAAAAGGAGAACAGAGCACATTCTCAGGCTGTAAAAGGCACTACTGTCAGCAGAACACAAAAATGCATTTTACTATTTGAAATACGATATGGAACAGTTTGTTTTCCAAACCAGTTATATTTTACATATAAAATACTCTAAAATATGTAAAGGACTTGTTATATTTTAGGTATGTATTACCTTGCATCTTGTTCTGTATAAACTAACTTAGTATGTTTCTGGTATGTGAAAGTGGTCATGAATACATTCTGGCATTTAAGATTCTTCTGAGTTGTGTAATACAGAACATCATTTGCAGCCCATTCTGGAAAAAAAGACAAATGCTATTAAATTCAGACAGAAGATGATATTACTGAGAGAAGATGGGACTCCCATGGACACTGGACCCAGTGCTGAAAAAGGTGGGTTGCAGGTGGCATGGAACTGAGGACAGCACTTCTGCATCCTGTGGGGACTGAGGTAAGAGCCAAAAGGTTTTTCCATGTTTTCTCTGAATACCACAGAACAAAAATTTCTTAATGCATTGAAAAAAAAAAGCAAAAAAAACCAGCAGAGGTCAATATTGCAGGGCCCAGTAATAGGAAGCTGTTGACCCTGTGTGGGTTCTGGAGGTAACAGGAAAACAGGAGACGTGGTTGTTTAAAACAGCAGAGAAAAAGAGGTTTACATGGAATCAGCAAGATAATAAAGATATCATAAGCTCTCCACTGCTGCATGTGACTGCACACAAGCCATTTAGAGAAAAGAGATGATGCATGTGCCCCATGGGTACTGCTGAGATAAAAGTTCTCCAGTTTTCTATGCTTGTGTATGTGTTCACCAACATAGAAAGGTATAAATACAAGAACCTTGTTATTCTGAAGTTCTTCTGACTGATCCAGCCACAGTCATGCCATCTCTGCTGCTCCTACAGCCAACAGAATGATGTTTAACACATGTGCTTTTAAAAGCTGCTGTATGTGTCTTCTGCATAAATACTGATTTTCAGTACAAAACCCGAGGAATTCATAACACCACAATAACACAACCACTTCACTTTCTGAACAGCAGTGTGGCTCCAAAGTGCACAGGTGGCTGAGGACTCACTATGAAGACAAGCCTTTAGAGGTCAAATCCAAGTTTTTCTATAGCCTAGCCTACACAAAAATCAAGGAGTAAATGTTCAGAAACTTTTGTCTGTCTCCCTACTATTTTATATCACTCAATACAAGCCCATAAACTTTGCAAGAGGTTTTAAGACCTAATTTTTTTGCTCATGATTGAGGCACCTCTGTGCTTCATTGCACTACTGCTGTACCTCACTAACACCTGACTTACCTTTACAGGTTACATTTACAACTTTACCTTACCTTTACCTTTTATAGAATTTACCATTCTGATAGCCATCTTTTGTACTCTTAGTATCTGTCACACCTATTTAGGCAACAGGACGTTGGTCTCTTAACTGTACTGATTCTTCTGGATCAACCTAGGTAGATGTTCAAATCAAGTATGTTGTAAAGTGTCATAGGCAAATGTGATGTTTATTTTTCAACAGGTAGTGTAATCTTCAGTGTGGAAACACAACACTAAATTCTTGAAGCTCCTCATTTTTTTAACAAGGAAGTTTTACAGAGAGTTTTATTTTTTTGCTCTGCCCAGGCAAATTGCTTACTGCACTAGATATACTTGATGACATCTAGCAATATAATCCAAAGTACAAGATCTACAAGATGTGGAACACTGTGTACATACTATTATACTCTTTTTGCTATATTCTTTAACAGACTATAAAATAAGAATGTTTTCCCATTCACTTCCATTTACCTCTGCTTCTTTTAACAGCAATGTAAAGCTCTGTAATCTATTGTGAAAGAATTGATTCAAGGTCTGGCTGACTTCACTGGGCTCTGATGTGTGACCCACATCGTAGATTCCAGTTAAAATTCCAGCCAACACTCACTAGTAGGTAGTACTTCCACACTTTTCAAGCAAAGCTAACTGTCTACAGCTACCAGTGACTTCAGTTGTAGCTGCAAGGGTTTACCAACCAGAATATCCCTCAAAAAGACCTTTATATGACAGTCACATCACTATATTTTGAATACAGCATATTGGATTCAATGGAAAAAATTATGACTGTTGTAATGTGTATAAATGCTTTTACAATGAAGGAAAACTTGTATCCAGGAAGCAGTCCCTTTCATCCATATCAGATAGCCTGTAGTCATGCAGCATTAAAGAAAACGTAAGAAAAAAATTCAACACCTATAAGGATTACACGTTGCCTTCATTTAAAAAAAAAAATTATCTTTATACTAAAACAAATGTTGTGTTGAAAGCTTGTGTGATCCACAGGATATTTATAAACGACTTACCAAAGCTAAATACACTTGGAATTACTTTTTCCATTACAGGAAGATTACCAAGTTTTATAATAATGCAGGTTGCCTCTTCAGAATTTTCACTTTTTAAGCTGATGGCCATGTATCTCTGATCTGATGAAATTCTGATCCGTTGAATAAAGGCATCAGAAAAGCCAAGATCTTCAACACTGAATAAAATCTTAGCATTTCCTTCACCTATTACACGGGAAAAAGAAATAGCAAAAAATTCTGTAATTAAGACACTGTCAAAATGAATGCTGATTCTTAATGTCTGTATTTAACAAATCTGTCTTCAATATTCACAAACATCCTACTGGAATTTATCAACAACAAATACCTGTTTTGCATGATATTTGCAAATGCACTTAGTAAAAATAAACAAAAAAATTACAGTTCCAAATAAAAAAGTCCTGTAGTTATTACTAAAAATATTTCAAAAGTGTAGATCTTTGCTTCTACTAAACATATTGAATTTTAAAGCTCAGATTGCTAAGGTGCGGTTGTTTTTAATAAATAAAATTAGAAATTCTTTCACCCCACCTCAGAAATAAAAAAGCATGCTTGTTCTTTTCCTTTCTTCCAAGTGTTAAGTTAGGTTAGGGCTCTGCAAAGAAGTGTCTTCTCTCTTTCCTGTCCAGCAAGTTGCCTTTGTATCAACATATACTATTCTCTAACTCTCTTTACCTCACCTTTTCAGATTTAGGATTCTAGAATTATTACTCTATTACAGAATTGTACAAAAGTATTTTTAGTTGAGAAACAGACAAGTTAAGCATTAATACAAGAAAAGAACACTAAGTGATACATGTATACCTTTTTTAAGAATCCTACCATATTAGGAAGAGAAATCCCTTACCATCATCTGCTTTTGCAAGAAATATGCAGCCATTCTCTTCGAAGTACACATTCTCTCCAAACCTCATCTGTTCAATGCAAACAAAAATATTTCAAGTCCAGCATACTATTTCCTTTTAACCCCTATATACAGTCATTTTTCTGTACAGCAGAAGTGTAACAAATGGTAACAAATGACAGAACATATATTCTATACTGAAGAAGGAACTGCACACATCAGAAAGGTTTTTTCAGTTAGGGTACTTAAGCTACCTCTACCTGCTCTAAATTTCACAGAAGGCTCAGATCACCTGCAACTGCTCTTGCAACTTACAATGTTTTCTATTCTTTATCCAAAAGTCAGATGATTGTTTTATCTTTATTTGCTTTTGCCTGTGGAAAAATTAAGGTAAATTCACTGTCATAACAACTATAAGGTGTTCTAAACACAAACTGTTATTATGCACAATTATTAAAATATTCAAAATTTCTACTGTAAAAAGAATGAGTAAACCAGCATTTTATAACAGGAACAGCTTCATTGTCTTTTATTTGTAGTCAGTGTTGGGAAATGTTTGTATTGTTTGCCACTTACCCTTGGGCTTCTTGAATTGAGTGTATACATGTTGTGCAATTCTTCCAGTTTTCCTTTGATCCTCTTTGTCATAGCTTTGTATGTTGGTGAAATGTTATTCCAGTTTTTTTGCTCTGATTTCAGAAGGTTCTTGTGCAAAAGGTCTATGGATGTATTTTGCTTCCTTTTGGAAGGGACTTTTGCTCCTTCCTGCTAAGTAAGGAAAGACAATGGCTACAAGCCAGCACACTGCACACCAATCTGAATACATTGAGGTGATATCCCCTGAGCCACAGGCCCAAAACCACCTTTGCATTATTACAAAAGTACATGCCAATAAAAACAAAAACTGCATGTGTGTTGGTATGTGTTTTATTTTAACTCTTCCTGATATTTTGGGGAGGCACTGTCAAACATGCTTTACTTGACACATTGAGATCCTCTCTTCAAAATTTAGGGTACTATTAATATATGCTCTTAATTGATTATAAATAAATATGTTTGTTCCTGTTCTAGAACTAGGTTGTACTTTTTATGAAATTCTATTTTTTCCTTCTTCACAGCTTTCTTTCACAATGTCCTGTCTTTAGAGTGTAATTTCTCATTTCCTTTCCTAGACAACAGTGCCCACACCTCTGTCCCTGTACCTCAGAGTCCTAGCAGCTCATTCAGGGTCTTGCTCCACCTCCTCAGAAGTGTTAATATAAATGTTCATAAGTGCAGAATGAAGTGAACTGATATGGGTTCTGCAACAATTTTATCAGGAAAAAGTTTAAGGATCTGGTTTTCCTTGAAATATGAAATTACTGCTACCTCACTGCCAAAAAAGTTGTCTTCTATTGTAAAAAATGTTAAAAGTGTGTTAAAACTTCTAGAACAATGCTACTTCCTCTTGCATGCTGTGAAATCTCACTTGATCAATTAGTAAGCTTCACAACTTGTATTACACTACATAGTACTGCACAGATCACATAAAGTAGCATTTTATAACATTCAGTGTATGATTTGAATGTGTCTAAGCTTAAAAAGCACCCTGTGCTTCATATCCCTGTCCGTACTTTTCATTAAGGAATGTTGGTTTGTTCCTGGTTTGTCTTCAGAAACTCAGAAGAACCAAAATGTGAACGTTCCAAGTAGACTCTGAAGGGAAACCATCTGCTCCAGTTACCAAACTCCCTATGAACATAAAGCACATCATTGCTGAGAGCTGAGAATGTCTGTCACTGGTTGAGACCAATCCTCCCTGTCACCTGGCACAAGGCAAAGAAATTGTGAAGGCTCTTAGAGAAGCTCTAGAGCAAGCGAGTGACTGGTCAGGAGAAGCAAAGTGCTGGATACCAAAGGTGTACCACCTCACCCCAGTCACTCAAAAAACTGTTGTAAGACAACACCATGTCCCAAACATGATGCAACCAAATAAAACTTCACAGTGGCCATAAATGGATACTTAGGAAAGCTAAGAATGGGGCAAGACAGATGATTTTCCCCAGCCTTAACAATTTTTGCTTAGGAATTTCCTGACCTGAACATGGTTTCTGGATATTTAAAAAGCTTCTCTCATGTATGACATATCTATATCTCATATATGTCTCCCCTTATACCTATGTAATATTTTAGCATCCACAACTTATTTTGACAAGTTCCACACTTTATGAATCTTTTGATGATTGCCCTCCTTTTGTTCTCAGCAATTCCCATTGTATTTGTTTGGAAATATTATATACAGCTGGTGGTCACAGTGTAGGGATATGTTAAGAGTGTACAGTACATCTCCCTACCTGGGGAAAATCCAGCAATCTGGAAAGATTTTCAGGATAGCAGAGGATCTCAGTGACAATTGGTGTGCAAACATTTACTCCAAAGCAAACAGGCACAGCTTCCTTTCAGGTGAAAACCATGTTTGCATGCAGAGACCAGTGTCACAGAGCAGCATTTGTAACAGTTGTGTTAGTGAAGTTCCACTGAGTAAACTGAACACACATTCTCGTCCCTCCAGACCTCCTGTGTTCTCCTTCAAACATCTGCTTACATTTGAGACACAGACTTAGGAACTCTTTACTTCATGGTGACAAATGAAAGTTACAAGAAGACCTTGGTGTCACCTCTGAAGAAACACTGTCAGTTTGAAACAATTTTAGGACAACCACGCACCCATCTGAAAACATGTTTAAGGATCAAATAAACCAAAACAAACATATTTTAAAACTATACTTAAGCATACAAATAAGTTTCTAGGCTGTCATACGGCAGTAAACTTTTATAATACCTCCAGAAAGATCTGTATTAGAGACACTGAGACAGAAGACCTAAAATTATTTCAGACTACTTTCTGACTCTGTGCATGAGAGTTAGTCCCATCCAATTACACAATATTTATTTACAGAAATCAATGCAAATACCTTTTAAAATATAGTTTAGAAGATGTGAGCATCATATTATATGATGGAAACCATGACCTACTGGTCAACACAGAAAAGTCAAGTGTTTTTTGAGACAGGTCACAGGCTGGCACCATCAGTTTGGACACTTTGCCTCCACCCTAGGTGATCTCTCCCTGCAGTTTGCTCCTGACACTTTACCTAAGCCTAGAAGATACCAATTTTTCAAAATTACAATGGCAGGAAAATCAAACAAAATGCACCTTTATGTCAAAACAGCATAGGAAAGCTGAACAATTGTACATGTCCTTGAATGTAACTGGTATCCTAGACTTTATTCATCTGCTTAAAATCCTCTGGGAACTATATGTATCTGCAACATGTGAAAAGTATGACTGGATTCCTTAACAGATGTGCCAAGGTGGTTGTTGGTATTAGGTCTGTATTTAACAGCATACCTTGCAGGAAAAGAATCTGCATGGCAGGATGCTTCCAGGTGGTGCAGTCCTGTGGGTGCATGTGCTTTTTGAGCAGCCCAGGATGTGGTGCTTTTTTGGTCCAATTTTACTGTAAGGACACGCTGTTTGAGGAGGGTTATGCTTAGAGTAGTACTTGGCACTGAAGGTCAGCCCCTGGAGAAGATTCCGCAGTCCAGCGCAGCACATCCTCACCTTCATCTCGTGACAGCCCACCTGGAATTTCTGAAAATCCAAAACTACCGATCATTTACACTGTGCGTGTGAAATGTACATAACTTAAACAGCAGGCGTAAATGTACGTACGTACAAAGGAAATAGACAGTGTAAATTTCCTCTTTCAAAGAAATGTGATTGACTCACTAGGTAAATCAAATGAGAAGAAAATAAGTTAAATTTGGTCTGCTAACAACTGGCACCCACATTTTAACCTGAAATGGTTAAAATTTGGGCCGGGCGTCCCAAAGTTTAACTCCAGTGGAACTGTGAGGAGAAGGCGAGCTGCAGCCGCGCACGTCCAAACGCTGAAGGGCAGAACCCTGGGGAAGTTGGGAGAAGTCGTCCCCGCTCAGTTCCCCATCACGAAACACCAACGCCACGCTCTCTCCCGAGGCTCCCCGGGCAGCAGCAGCTGAACCCCTTTCGCAGGAGCCCTGCAGGGGACGGGCCGCACGTGTCCGGCCGGGCCCGGCGCGGCCCCGCTCCCGCCGGCGCTGCCCGTCCGCCCGCCGCCCGCGCAAGGACTCGCCGTGCCGCTGCCGCCGCTCCCGCTCCCGCTCCCGCTGGGCCGGGCTGCCCGGGCCCGGCAGCGCTCCCGGGGCGCTGCCCGTAACTAAGATGGCGGCAGGGCACTTCAGCAGCCGCGGCGGCCGAGCGCCGCTGTCAGCGCCGGGACGCGGACCCATGGTGGGGCGGGCACGCTCCCTGGCGCGGCTTTCCCGGGTGCCCGCCGTGCCACATCCAGTCCCGTCCCCGGGCGCGGTGGCCACGGGCGACTTGTCTTGAGGCGCGCCCACGCCATGCCGGGCCTGAAGAGCACCGCGCTTCCTCGGCTGCCCAGAGTCGCTCGGCGCTGCCCTTAGCAAAGATGGCCGTGCTCCTCCTCCCACTCCATCCCTAGCCCGGCCGGTCCCGCAGCCGCTGGATGCTCAGCGGCCCGTCCCTGCCGCCCAAGACAGCGCTCCCTTCCTCCCTCCCGCCGCGCCAGCTCCCGGCGCTCCCGCCACCGCATGGCCGAGGCTGCCGGCTCTCCGCGCCGCCCCGCCGCGGGCAGGTGCGGGGCGA